AGCTCTGGGGTGTGGCCAGTCTGGCCATTTGCACAGCTTATGTGCTTCATTAATATCATTTGAGGTTTGTAACTGAAAAAAGAGTGAAAAACAGTGTGAAAAGCATTAAGAAGCATACCAGTATGACCTCTTGTAACGCCTCTTCATAGTGCCTCTTCAGGATTCCAGTACCAGATATCACTGTCAGTTTGTTCTGAATTTTACGGGCATAGATTTGGGGTTTTTTTTATTTTTAGTATTGCTATTTTATGTGGCAAAAAGTACCTGGGTACATTCTGGGTGATATTTATTCCATAGTTCATATTTCTGACGTGTCAAGGCTACTACACCAGCTCAAGCAGTGGTTGTCTTACATTTTAGAATTGCAGACAATTGCAGCTGAACATGCTATTATTGGTTAAAAGTGATTAATCGTCCTACTTTATATTTCCAAAACATTTTGTGTGCATGGATGGAGTTTACCCTTGGCATGCAGTCGTGACTACTATTATCCCAGTAGTCGCCATGGGGAGATGGAGACAGAGAGGCAGAGTGCATTTCCCACATTCACACAGGAAATCGCTGGATAAACCTAACTGAAGCCAAGAACACTGTTTCTAGGTCCCGCTTGGTTTCCCAATCTGACAACGAAGGATAAGAACAAGCAATTTTTGAGGTGAAGCCTCAGGGAAAGCAATGAGAGAGGTGTGGTCAGGCACAGGCTTTCCTAGGGAGAAGCTTTTCATACCTATTTCTGTGAACTGGTCGTATTTGAAGGTTATACAGATGGCCGTCTGTCCGTAGGACTCCCCAGTAGCTGGATACCCATAACCATCCTCGGGGACAGGAGGGAACAGGGGCACGCTGTGAACAACCCAGAAGCCCTGTGATTTGTCCAAGAGCAGAAATCCTGTCAAAAAAAGTTATTGCAAATGAATTAAGAGGGGAAAAGCTCTGAGACGACATAGCTGTGTCCTGCTTTGGATTTGCTGCTGCAGACACTACACTTCAATGTGTTAATGTCTAAGGTAAACTGGCTCTAGAGTAAATTAATGGATTATAGGAGACACTAATATTGTATTAAAATTGCATTAATTCTCTCCTGCACAGTCTAACTCAAACTGTCACCATGTTTCTTTCGGAAAAAAGAAAATCTTTTCAAAACATTTTCTCTTCCTCTTCTTAAATTTTGTCTTCAAAAAGTCTGATGATCTAGTGGCTGTAACGCTCTCTCCACTCCTCCTTTTCCTTCCCTTCTCATGTTGACTGCGTGAGAGGAAACAGATTCTGCCAACCCCGTGCCTTCTTCCCCAGGCCAGATGCCCCTCCATGGGTAGCGGCAGGGGGGGGGGCTGTGCCTCCCCCTGCAGCAGGGTGCTCTGGGGAGGAGCACGGCTCCCGAGCCGTCCCCATTGCTGAGGCCTGGACATACAGCCCTGCAAAATGTCTTCACCCCAGCGTCAGGCTGGGCAAACCCCATCTGTTTCCTTAATGCAACATTTAGACCTCCACTGAAGGGTGCGCTTATTTAAAGCCTTGCTTTACTTTAACTGCCTACTTTAGTGCTTCTGTGATCTTGGCAGCTGTTTCTGATGAGGGAAGAGCAGTGGATGTTGTCTACCTCAACTTCAGCAAGGCTTTCAACACTGTCTCCCATAACATCCTCCTAGGGAAGCTCAGGAAGTGTGGGCTGGATGAGTGGACAGTGAGGTGGATTGAGAACTGGCTGAATGGCAGAACTCAGAGGGTTGTCATCAGCGGTACTGAGTCGAGTTGGAGGCCTGTAACTGGTGGTGTCCCCCAGGGGTCAGTACTCGGCCCAGTCTTGTTCAACTTCTTCATCAATGACCTGGATGAAGAGTTAGAATGTACCCTCAGCAAGTTTGCTGATGACACCAAAATGGGAGGAGTGGTGGATACACCAGAAGGCTGTGCTGCCATTCAGCGAGACCAGGACAGGCTGGAAAGCTGGGCAGAGAGGAACCTGATGAGGTTCAACAAAGGCAAATGCAGGGTCCTGCACCTGGGGAGGAACAACCTCATGCATCAG